CTCAGGCTTGGGGTGTGGAGAGCGACGAAGGAAGACGGGAGGAGGCGGTGGTGGTGAGGAGAGAGGGTGGTTGATGCGACATAATTATGTACCAAAATTGCAAGTGCACAATTGATCAAGTTATAGTATAAAAATATCGATCCCACGAGGAAGGTGATTTTAAGAGATTATTAGAATTGGTTCTTATGTTTTGTGCATGACAAAATAGGATTAAAGAATAAGTATGAGAGTTATGATGAGTGAGAGTGATTGTTGTGAATATATGCAAGTAATAATAAATTGAATTTTAGAGGAGAGAAGAAAGAATCAAAGAATAAAATAAAAGCAAGAATAAAAAGAGAAAAATCAAGAAAACAAAAGATAGAGGATTCAATTAAAGATATGAGAGATCTAGAATTGAATCCACTAGCTAATCTCAATTATAAAATACAAACTATTCTATTTTTATCATATTTCAACGTAGATTTATTAAGCATAGACTATCAAACTATTTAAGGAAAGTATAACCTATCAAATTATCATCTAAGTCAAAATAAAATTCATGATAAGAATAACAACAAGATAGTAATCCTAGAATTCATAAGTATAACCTATCAAACCATTTAAGATAAGCATAGATTATCAAATTCTTCCTCTATCAATTAGTTCTCTAGTTGATTATCCTAAACATGATTATTTTAAGTGTAAGAGAATAATTCATACAATATAAAGAAAATTAGACTAGTTTCATACAATTCTAAGATTACTACAAGAATTAATTTCACATCTTAAGAAATAAAAGCAAGAAGAAAAAGAACTAATTACAAAAACAAAAAGAAAGAAAATCTAAACTATGAACAAGAAATAAATCTAACTACAAAGAATTAAAATCTAAACTACAAAATAAATTATAAAAATTAAATGCAAGAAAATAAATCTACTCTATAAATTAAAGTGCAAAAAGAAAAAAGATAAGAAAATAAATCTACACTACAAGCATGAATGTAAATCTAACTAATAAGCAATAATAAAAAATTACTAAAAAGAAATAAAAGTGGAAAATAAAAGAAATGCAAACCTTTAAATTGCTCTTCATCTCCATCCTCATCATTCAACAAAGAGGAGAAAAAAAAATTTAAAGTGGAGAAAAAATTATTATTATTAATTGTAACAAAAGTTACAAATTTGGAAGGCCTTCTCAATTAAGAGTAGCCCTCCTCTCCAAATGGAGTTACAAAATTTTTCACACCTCTAACCCCTCACTCTCTACCCCTATTTATAGTAAACATCAATGAATGTGAGTCGTTGGATCAATACTTATCCAAAACAAGCAAATTTCAGCCCTAGAACGTGCTATAGTCCCGCAAGTATCGATACCAGCATCGATGCTGGTATCGATACGGGTATCGATGCCAACATCAATGCTGGTATCGATACCCAGTCTCTTCCTTTTGCCATCCGTAGATTTCCTCTTATATTGGCTTTGGGCTTTAGGCTTTTGGGCTTCATACTTGTTTTCTTCATTAAATCAATGGGGTTTTGGATAAATTGACAATTTGATTTTCCAATGGGCTTCTTGATTTCTCTTTTGCTTCATTTCTTCATTAAATCAAGGGTCTTTGTTGAGAGATGAGAGTTTGAGATTTATTCTTCATTAACCTGTATTTAAAGATAAAAACAATTATTAGTGAGATATTTATTCACATAAAATAGATAATGAGAGTATAAAATTGTAATAAAATATGATTATCAATGGTCAGCGATGAAGAAAAGAGAGAGAGAGGGGGGGCTGGCTACGTGAAAAGAGAGAGAGAGAGAGAGAGAGAGAGAGAGAGAGAGAGAGGAGGGGTGCGGCTACGTGAAAGAGAGAGAGAGAGAGAGAGAGAGAGAGAGATAGAGAGAGAGAGAAATAAACATATATATATAGGAAAGGGATTAGGGTTAAGGAATATAATTAAGAAATAATTAAGAAACTAATTAGGAAAAATTAGAAATAATTAGGAAATAATTATTATAATTAATAACTATACTGATAATAACAACAATAATAACAAAACATATATTAATTTAAAAGTTTTCACCCCAACAAGTTAATTTATAATTATCAAAATCATTAAATAAATATAAAAGTAGATTCTTTAATCATAGAAAATTCTAGGAAATCAAGAAAATATAAATACTCTTTTGAAAATAATAATTTAATATTTTAAAATATCAGAAAAATTATTTTAACTAGTATCGAAAATTCATGGTCATTACATTCTACCCCCCTTAAAACAAATTTCGTCCTAAGAATTAAAATAAGAAAGAACCCAAGGACAAAGATATTGAACGAGAGTGTAGTCGGGAAGTGACGAGACAAGAAGCAGTGTAAAGTTCTGGAGTCAAGAGTGATAAGATAGGGACTAAGGTATAATTCATCGAGATGATAGGATACGGACTAACTATAGTCTTACGGATAAAATATGATATGCATCTAAATTATCCATTATATTCTCACTAGAAGGAACTCGGGACCGTGACCTGCATGGGCCACCAAAAAAACCTGACACGTCCTGCTTTCCAAAATACCGGGGAATCAGAACGTGAACAAGCTCACTACATATTAGGCTGAGGAGAAATGTACTAGACCTTCTACTCAATCTAATACGCTAAGCGTTAAGCAATATAAATACAAAGTCACAGATCCTCGATCATAGTTAGCAAGAATATAATAGACAAACTCAGAACAAAATAATCAATATCATAAAAGAAATATCATCCAAGACATAATATTCGGATCAACATGCCCTTATATAAAATATCCAACTAAAATATTGAAGGAATATAAAATATATCGATCAAGCGGGAATGGAAAGTGCTACAAAAACAAACTAAAAGGAATAACTAAGCTTTGGCTTCTTCTTCTGCTCGGTCTACAAAGCACTCC